TATATTTTTTTCTTTAAATTGTTTATAAGGTACAATAAAAATGTCTTTCTAAATTCAGAAGTAGAGAAAAATGAAAAACAAACTGTCATTGACCTTTTTGAATGCCTAGATCTATATTTAATAATGCCTACAGTAAAATAATATTAATAACACACACGAAAGAGTTAATGTAAGTACGGACAGCGTGGCAGGTTTGTATTTTTTCATCCTGTTCACAGTAACTATATCCATTGGTCATAAAGAATTTGTGTTTTGTTTTGTAATAAACCTAACCAAACATTTTAAATTCCCATCTTTGTACACACATAGTACCGGTATTCATTCAAATGAAATTTTTAAAACATTCCCCCCCCCCCCCCCGTTTCACGCCCTCTTTTTTGCTTTAACCATCCTTTTTTTTTTAAGCGAGAGCTGCTATCTTTCTGCATGGTCAGCATTTATAATGACCAGCCGCCTGTTATAGTTTTGTATTTGACCTCTTTTTTTTTTTTCAAAGCTTGGACAAGTGAGCCACGAGCGCTCAGGGCAAGACCTTTGTAGCCTAATTGTCTTCCAGACTAACCATTTAACTTTCATTGTTGTAACAGTGACCATCTGGTTAATACATAGTTCATTGTTTCGAGATGGCCTACAATAATTTGTTTAGTGTCATATCGTATTAAAGATGTTATCTGTCTCAGTGTCTCTTGACTTACGTCGCAAGGGAGGGGGGGGGGGGGGCTGCGACGGTTCGCGTAACCAAAATCCTACTTTCTTTCCAGTCAGCAACTGCAATGTCTATAATAGAATATCGAGAGACTGGTCCAATAGTTGACGTTGTCTACGGCCAATACAGCTTTTCTTTGAATGATCTTTTCTTCCTTTCACTACTAGATAGGTCTGTTGTTGTTTTTTTCTTATTGTTTACCTTAAAGTTGCAAATTACCACAGAGAAAAAAGGAGGCACTGCGTAGACTAGAAAAACTACTCACTTGGAGGATGACCAATCGTTATAGTCAGTGCTTTTTTTTTTTTTGTAAAAAAAAAAAAAAGGTGCCGACACTCAATGATGTATTGCCTAACTTTGAACTACTAATAAATTAATAATTAACGTTAAAATACATGAAAAGTAATAATTTTCCCCCACATTGAAAAAGCTGCCGGTACGACGCACCGGTGCATGCCGTCACAAAAAAAATCACTGGTTATAGAAGCCCTCAACGCTTACCAGCGACGTCGCAACCTGTTTTCAGTTTAGACCCATAGCCACGTAGCAGGTCGTGTCATATCGTGACGTCAGACCCCCCCCCCCCTCTCTCTCTCTCTCTCTCCCTCCCCCCTCTCTCTCTCTCCCCCTCTCTCTCTAGCTCCCTGGAATGGGACTTTATAGGCCGTTTCCCCCTTCGTTTATATGTACTGGATACGGACTAGAAATTGAAGGTTGTTCAATGTCAACCCACATCATTAATCTACCATCATCAGCCAAAAAGACATTATAAATCATTCTTCAAGTAGTCAATTGAAACTTGATGTTTGGGTTGGTTACATAACGCCAGAGCTTACCTTAATCTAAATGTGTGGAGGGCAGTGTTGGATTAATAGGTCGAAAGATTTTAGTGTAAGCACCAGTGTAAAGAAATTATTTAAAATTCTATGAATTATTTTGCCGATTTAAAGCTCATCTTAATAACGCCTATCTGCGCTTTCAATTTGATCAAAGTGTTTACTTAATGTGTTTATTAACTAGGGGCGTAACTAGGAATTTTCCATCATATGGGGACCCGGGGGCTTGACATCTCCGAGGGCCCCTGCATTTTGCGTAATATTTCATTTTTAATGTAAAAAAGCACTCAATTGGAGGCCCTTCTCAAGTTGAGGCCTGGGGGATTTTCAAATTCTGTCTCCCCCCCCCCCCCTCATCCCACGACCCTAGCTACGCCACTCTTTTAAACTCCACGTTAGAAACAGATACATTGACAAAAACGTCATGCTTGTTTTTGTCCTCAATGATAATTGTCAGAATCAATCAAAAGTAATGGCTGAAGATTTGGATTGGACAATGTTTTACTTGCATGGTTGACCTCGGGCTCTTTAAACTACTCTTCATCGCATCAATAAAAAAAATTAATATCAAATGTTATTCATCGGTTCATGCATACTTTTTACTTGTTCCCTTCGGTATATAGACACAAACCTCCAACTGCCCGTATCCATCCGCTCATGTAGCCTTAATATTACAGTATTACACACACACATGCAATACCCTCTCCCCAGTGGCGTAGCAAGATACCCGTACGCCCGGGTTCAGGAATATGTTGTAAGTCCCTCCCCCTCCCATATGACAAATTTGTGTGTACTGTTTAGTGAACAGTGAACATAAAACGCAAGTGGCTGCTTTTGTTGAAACAATGTCAGAAGGCTCATATTGGAAAACCATTATTGCCTTGGCCTCGCAAGTATCTACATCCCTTCCAAGGGTTCATGTAGGGCAGGTCACAATGGCTCAGGCGCAAAGACAATTATGAAACTCTTACTCGCCATACTGTGCCGTATTTAGACTTGAAAAGGACCTAATCTATTTGATATATGGGACCCCATATATGTCCAGATGATAACTTATTCGATTGAATCGCATCCAATTGGATAGGATTGGAGCTGATCCTGATTCAGTAGTATCTGATAGGATAGGCCTACTATCTGGATTTGATCGGATCGTCGGTTAAAAAAGCCAGCATGAGTATCGAATTATCATCAAACCAACAACTGCCTCATTAGCGCGACACTATCAACTTCGCTGCCACTTTCGGAATATCAAGATGTAAATGACCAGAGGATTAAGATGAAATGACTGGTATGAATTTGCAGGGGTTTAAATAGCCAGTCCGTCCATTTAAAAAATATGCACATTCATGTCAGGTAATCTTTTCTCCCCTCAAAATTTTTAATCCTGGATCTAATTTTTTAAAATACTTTGGCTTAAAAGACAGTGATAAACAAGAAAAATATATAAAACTAGTCGACCGGCGGCGTTGCATACGCCGCTATTTTGCAGGGCCGGCGTTATGCCATTGAACCTATGCGTCCGCAGTGTGCCCCGCACTTTCATAGGACCTGCGCTAATTCTAGGTGTATAAATTATTAACTTAAACCATTTTATAACTTATAACAGATTTCCTGCGGCCTCCTGGTTTACCAGGAGCTCCTGGAAATCTCCTAAAATTACAAAATATACGAAAAAGTCTGGAAATCTCTGGAAATTATTAAAATCTTTTAAAAACTCATACAAATCTCCTGAAATAAATAGACAAAATGTGTCATTTTGGGATATCATTCAATATGGAAAACGCCAATCCTACGCGCGATTAAAAAAAAACGGCATTGTCACGTGGAATTGTGGAATCTGTGGCACCTCAAACTAATGACTTGAGGTCAACAATTTGCAAAGATAGATTGAAACATTTGATAATTCTTGCTATTGAACGTGATCTATGTAGGAAACAGAATTATTATGATATACTGTATGACCTTGCTACACGCAAGGCTCGTAAGTAATTCTGCACGTAGTAAAGAATGAATAAAATGCATAGACGAATTTATTTTCTAATACAAACTCTTAAATTTCACTTATTATCCGCTTCCCTACCCAAACTTGGCCCCGCTAAATCGTTTCGCATAGGGCCCCACAATGGTTAAGTCCGGCCCTGCTATTTAGTGACGGGTGAATATACATAGTAGATTACTTGTTCTCTTTTCCATGACTTCTTTGTCATAATGGTTAAGTCCGGCGCTGCTATTTAGTGTTTGTAAAAAGTTTGTTTGTAAAATATTTTACGTCTATCGGATGTTCCTTCAGAGTTGAAGATAGTTTACTTCCTAGTTCAAACCCCCGGCAGGACGAAGGGGGGGGGGGGGTGAGAGCGGGCAGGGTTTGAACCCGGAATTATCGATAAATCCAAATGACAGTCCAGCGCGCAAACCGCACGACCAGGCAGCCATCTGTAGTGACGGGTGAATACTTCTTGTCCCCCCCCTTGTTTTTTTCATGGGGGGTAACTCTATCCGCAGAAATAAAAGAGTGATCTTTCCTTTACTTCTTCTTCTCGTCCTAACTCTTGAGCCATGAAGAGAATAATATATATATATATATAAAGAGGTATTAAAAAAACAACAACTTACATTAAGTGTAACGGTATCAAATAGTCTGGATCAATCAATGTAATTTAATTTGTAATAGATCTAGACTAACAATAATAAATCTGCGATCAGAAATATTTTTACCATTTGTTTTTGTTTCGCGCAATTTTATGCCTTTAGTATTCTCAAAGCACTATGATCTTATCATTTGTCTGGATCAGTTGGGAAAAGTAGGTGGGGGAGAGAGAAAGGGGTATCTGGGTGCAGGTTTCCATGATCGCTTTTTAAATGCATTTTATAAATAAATAAATAATTGTACCCTTTTCAATTCAAACTCGAGGGCTTAAGCCTCCTCAGTTCAACACCCTAACAACCATGCTAGTGAAGTGCTTATAGTTATCTATTTTTAGTTTCAATTCGTTGAGCCACGACCTCCTTCTCTATACAAAGTATAAAGGGGATTAATTCAGCTTATGCCACCACATCTGTTAAGTACAAGTTCTTTAATTAATTTCAACTTGATCTGAGATTGAGTGTGTGAGAAATAACATGTACAAACATTTTACCAGACAAGAGTTGATATAAGCTATGTAAAAAAACAACACAATGACTGAACAATGCCAAAGCTGAAAACTATGCTGCCTGGTCGAGTAGTCTGTCTTCACGATTAGAACCAGTGATCATTAGCCAAGTGCCTCACAATTAGCTATGTTCTTTTATTTAATTATAACAAAATTTGGATGGCTGCCTTGTGGTATGCCCTTGGACTGTCATCACAATGGTCTTGTGTTCAAACCCTGCTTGCTGCCATCTCCTGTAGATGAATTGGGCTAGGACTAATATTCTACTGAAGTAACTTCCAAAACATAAATCAATCCAACAAAAAAAAATGGTTTTAACGTTTATTTTTCATTTTAACAAAACATTGAACAAGCAAAATACACAACGTCATTGGTCAACACTCTAACACCCCTTGACCAACTGTTTGAAAAGTTCATTTGAAATTAGGGAAAGTTATTCAACTAAGGGACAAAACAAATATTCAGTTTTCTTGTTATCAATATTGAAACCATTTTATGAGAACAAAAAAATAATGCGAGATCATCACAACAAAAGCTTTTGGGACTGAAATCATGCTCAGCCTTGAAAAAAAAAATGATGTTTTGTGATTTAGAGCAAGTCTTTTTTTTTTCAAATCGAAAAATAGTGTCATGTTTTGAAACTAGTAAGGAACATGAGGGTGTATGTAAATACAATTGTTTTCACAAAAAAAACAACAAAAAAAAACAAGTTTTTTGTTTTGGCAATGAAATTTGTACATTGAAAATGTATTTTTATCTACTTCAAAAAGACTTACCATAGTCAAAGGTAAGATAGACTTCATCACTAGATAAATAGTTGACACTGTGACAATGCAAGCATAAAAGTTTGACCATTGGTAGAATTAAGAAATGAATGACAAAATTTTCACAGTATTATATGAGTGTAATTCACTTATTCACTGTGTCCAAAATAAAAGGGTCTTGTAATTAATTTGATGATTAATAATTTAAATTTGATGACATTGATTTCATCAATGTTCTACTGTTTCAATGTAAATAAAATACAATTCACTTATTTAATTTTAAACAAAGATATTTCATATTTAAGTGACACAGGATCACAAACAAAAATGATTTTAACCATTAAAGTAACATACTAAATATATATTCCATAATATCCACTTAACAAAACATAAAATTTAAAAAATGAAAGCATGAAAAACTTTATGAAAATGGAGAAAAACATGATTTTTTTCATGAGAAACTGAATTATGGTAGAAGATCTTTTAAAAGAAAAAAAAAAAAAAAAAAATTATAAATGGACATTGAAGAACAAACATTTGTATTCATTTTAAAATAATTTTTAAGAGCATGTGCATTTTGTTTGAATAATTACAAAATAAAAAAAAAGAATATATTAATAGCAAACTAGAGAGAGGAATTTTTACTTTTAGAGAATTCAAAACTTACATTAAATAACAAAAAAAAAACAATTACAAACATATTTTAAAGACATCAGGACACTGTAAAAAAAAGTTATGTTTTGCTAAATTTTCAACATTTTGAAACTGAATAGTACAGCTATCAACACTTTGATGAATAGTTTTGGTCAGTATGTTCTTCATTATGATACAATGTTGCATGTTCTCTGAGACGCAACTATTGATGCATATTTGAAAACAAATACTGCTGTGTAGTCATCTCATTTGACTCATCCATCTAGTCAGTCAACACAACAATGTACATTAGAACCATTCAAAGTCTTGTTATATTGAATATATTCAACTTAAAGTTATAACTTTTCATACAGCTATATTCAAAGTTATATTCAAAGTTATATATCTAGCATATTTTAGCAAACTGGCCAATTTCATCAAATAGTTCAAGTTATCAAAATTAGCAGGGGATCATGATAAGCATAACTCAAACTGTTAAAAAAATCCATACTGTTAAATACTTGGTATTGTTTGTATCCATTAAACTGAAAAACTTAATAGTAAACTCTATGAAAATTCATTCCAAATAGGTGAAAAAAACGTCATAAATTTTGGGGAGGTTTACCAGTTAAATAATGCAAGTGACTAGCCAATAGGAATTAATTTATTTTTATTCTATTTGTACAAAGTCACCATATAACTATTCCTAAGCCAGGTAAAGAAAGCATCAAAAGGAAAAAAAGTCTTGCAAACTTGTGAGAGAAAAAAAATAAAAACGCAACTTTCATAACAGAAATCAATCACACATGCATGCCTAACGCATTAATAAATATGATCTGTCCACTATTTACACAAAATACAATAGATTCTATGTCTTGATCTAAACTCTGCTTATGGACTTGACAAAGCTGCTCCTCTTTTAAGAGCTGTAAATATCCACCTCCTTTCTATGGCTGCACCGACGCCGATGATCTCTTGATCAAAAATTGAGGGCATTTTTTCCAGCAGGTCTTCAACTTCTCTGGTTCTGACTGGCAGAATCTGCCGCAGGTAGGACCACAGATAGTCCACAGTGGCCCCATGAGGGTGAACATGAAGGAAGCAGCATATCAGTCCTAAAGAGACAAGGAGGGGAGGATATTTGGTAATATATTTAATGACAAGAGCAGCAAAATTTCACACATTTACGTGAATTCAATTCTGCAAATGTTCCTTCCTTTACCATTTTATTTCCTTCTAGAGTATGGAAGTATTTATGAAACAAATTAAAACAATTTTACTTACAAATGACTTTTATGGAGAGAGCAAAAGAAAACAAACATTTACTTATATAATGAGACCAGACAATTTCTATTTTACGTTTTAAAATTTTAAAAAATATTTATTAAAATACAAATTTATATTATTATTTTGTACTGTTTCATTTTTCATCTTTTATTATTTCATCAGAAATAAATAAAAAAGGATAGATGTAAAACAGGTGTAAAATGGACTGTTAATGTCCTTTTTTTCTCAATCATTTTCAATATGTGAAAACACATGGAACGTTACTTAGAAAGAATAAAATCTTTTTATCACTTGCCATAACTACCTTTTGTTCTCGAAAAAAAATTTACAATTTATTTCGGTATAGATTTTTTTTTCAGCTAAAAATGATCATAAAATCATTATTAAGAATGCTGGTGACACAATTAGTAAAACAAAAAAAAGATAGAGCATTAGTTAAATGTGTTTCATCAAAATGGTATGAGAAGAATTTTAGGTGTCATTTACTTTGACTTAGGGGGTGACAAGTGTGGCAACCATGACAGCTGAAATTTTATTATCTAATCTGTTGATTTTTCATGCAACATGTTTCTGAATCAACATCAGAGGACTGGGGACAAAATCATACACGCAAAATCTTACCTGTAGAACAATTATAATACAGTACACAGTGTAGTCAAATGGCCAATAGTACAGTATCAATGTAAATTACTATGTCTTATAACAATAAGGCCTACATCATTAGAGGCGGATAAGGTCGTGATGTGGTAGGGTATATATGCTCTACGTTTACCACTCAGACTATGTATGACACTCATTTTGGGCTCCGCATGCTGCTAAGGCTGACTCTGTGACTATATCTTATCTTATATAATACAGACATAACTTCAAAAAAGAAGATGATTATGTCCTACGCGTCAAGCATTTAGTCATGCATATTAACCAATGACTTAAATTCTGCCAAGTCACTGGTTTTCCTGGCTAGCTCAGGCAACCCATTCCATGCTCTAATAGCACTAGGGAAGAAGGAGTATTTGTACAACTTTGTCCCTAGCATATGGGATGAGGAATGTGCCTTTATCTTTGTGTCTTTCAGAGTATTTTATTAAATTTCATTTTTGTATTTTAAGATTATGGTTCAGTGTTTAATGTATAATTGCTACTTTAGAGTCTTCTGTCCTGAAGGCTTTCTAAATTTAGTGATTTTACTATAGGTGTTACTCTAGTCAAATGTGAATATTCATTTGTTATGAATCTCACTGCTCTATTTTGTGTCTGTTCCAGTTTCTTAATGTTTTCTTGAGTTGAGGGGTCCCAAACGGAGGATGCATATTCTATTATTGGCCTAACCAAGGTTAAATAACATTTTAGTTTTATGTTCTTATTTGATTTATAGAAATTTCTTTTAATAAATCCTAATGCTTTGATTCGATTTTTTTATAGTTTCATCATTACGAGCACTGAGATCTACTGTCAATGGTCGATATTGTTAAACAAAATAAGATAGATGGAAAGACCATGTACACAGACATCCCAGGGTAGCTCTCAACTAGAACCCCCCAAAAAACAGCGCAAGGAGACATTGAACCCATAATTAGCAAGAAGTCATAGTGCAAGACAGACTTGCAAACCATAGGCACTAATCGGGAAATTCATTAGAGATTGCTGGCTGCCTGACACAACCAAGAACATATAACAGACTATCGAACCAACAATTAGAAGCTAAAGCCATCATATAAAAGCATTAATTGAGTACTTGTACAGTAAAGAAAAATCAAAGATAGATTACCTATTAATTTAGCTTCTTTATCAGTCAGAGTTAGACCAGAACTGCTCACTGTGATGTCCTCCTTAGTAGATAATTTAGCAGATGGAGTTTCCTCCTCCTGACATTACAAAAAAGTACTTGTTTATTTATTACTTTAAAAAAAAAAATCATTAATGAAGTGAACAGTTACAGATTTGAGAATAATCTAACCATACATAAACAAAGCCAATTCAAACCTTTTCTTCAGTTGAACTTTTCCCTTCCTCTGGTGGCTTTCCTGAATCTTCTTTCCTTTCAGATTTCTTTTCTTCCCTTTCCAGTTCCAATCTGGAGGCTGCAGCTCTATGGGCTATTAGTTGCTATAATTGTTTTTTTAGAGAAAGAAAAATGTTAAAGGAAAGAATATAATTTTATTATGGCATCAGCAGATCAGTTACAAAAATTGCTGTTAAAAAAAAATTGGACCCATGAAAATCAAGGGACCACTGAAGCTGTAAATATTAATACCCCCTTCCCTCCTCAGCTGTTACGTAATATCTGAACATTCCCAAAAGGACCTGCAGCAGATAATTTAAGACAAGAAAAAGAGTCTTCTTTCATACTAAGAAAAATGTACATATTTCTAGTATAACCTGCGCCCATGGTGGAGGCCGTCCAGGCCTGAGCAAGCTATTATAGCACAGTGCAGGACAGGCCATTGTCCTGTTGGCTCATATTTCACATGGCTATAGCCAAATTTTGATTCACGGAGCCCCCGCTGCGGGGAAGAAGAGGAAACCGTGCCTCATATTCTGTTTGACTGCCCCAGACTTGCTGATCTCGTCTAGACAGGTCTGGGAAACAAAAAATTCTCGACCTGTATGTCGACATTTATGCACTAATGCACTACGCAAGACAGCAGGGTTCCTGTCCAGGGCTTTTGCAAGAGAGGATTTGAGCCTCTCAAGCCCTCACTCAAATGGAGTTTGATGATGATGATTATAACTAATCTAAAAAAAATAATTTTTTAAATAAATAATACCTGCTGCATTCCCTGCAGTGCATTTTATAACTAATCTAAAAAAAAAATATTTTTAAAAAATAAATAATACCTGCTGCATTCCCTGCAGTGCATTTTATAACTATTCTAAAAAAAAATTTTTTTAAAATAAATAATACCTGCTGCATTCCCTGCAGTGCATTTTGTAATGCTTTGATTTGTTTATCTTTGTCTTCCACATCTGTCCGCCATTCTTGACGAACCATGTCCACCTCATTTTTAAAAGCTTCCATCTGGCATTTGAGGGCATCATTTTCTTCCTTTAACTTCTGACTCTCAATGCTGTCTGCAGATTTACATTAACTTGTTAAAATAAAGAAAAGTTCCCCTCTCAGACTTTGTGATCTATGGGGGAAATGATGTAAAGGTCATCTGTTTCTGTGACACACAGTTAACGAGGTTGTTATGTGGCCAGGACAATAACCAACCTTCTTTACTTTTCCCAAGCTAATGTCAGGTACCCATTAGAGCTGGATGGACTCAGAGCTGCCCTGACAATTCATCATTTCCTGTGATTAACAATTTACTAGAATGCTGACTTTATCTACCTTGGCAATTAATCTTGAAAAACAACTTTTTAACCTTAGAAAAAAATCACTACCCAAAATCTTCAGGTTATATTGGGTTATATTATTTTTTAAGAAAACAAAATTCTGGTCAGAAAAAGAGCTTTGCTTGCAGTCGATCAGGCAAGTAAAATTATTACATGTAAAAAATTATATAAAAAGTATTTCAAATCTTCAGAATGTGATGATATACATTACAGTTTATGATATGCCATGTCATGTTGACATTTCTTCAGTAGAATGCTTCTA